TATTATTTGAATAATCTTTTAGTTGAAAATTTATTAGAACTGATTTTGATGTAACTCTTTAAGTACCTGGAATGTATCCTGCATGATTTATAATGATATCATACATGTTTCAATATTTTGTTAGAACAATTTTTCAGATGGTACATATTTAGTCATTTAATTTACCTATAGGCTTTGGAATTAACTTTGACCCATAGGCATATGATTTTTTTCAGTAATTTTTAGCCTGCTCTTATATTTTTACTTTAAATTTAAAGAAAAGACAAGGAATTTAGAATATATAAGTTCAGAAATTGAATTTATGATGATATCAAGCTGCCATATAATTCAAAAAAATTCATAATCATTATTAATGTTCTAGATTTAAGATAGGTTGAGAATGATCAAAAGATTAATCTTGAGGTTCTTACCAACCAAATATCTATGATCATGTTAGTCTAATTCTTCATGAAGCATTATGTTCAGATTTATGTAGTCTTCTGAATTGTAGATCATGAATGCACACATAATCTAATGATATATATTTTTTTTGTCCATCTTAAACTATTTCTTGTTTTTTTTGTAACTATCAAATTGGAATTGTATTTTCTAATAAAAAGAGATTCAAAAGTTTAATAATAAATGAGATGGATTTAATTTTAAATTCTATTTTTTACCTAAATTCCCTGTTTTCTTATTATTACAGAGAATAAATTTTCTGCTTCAGAATCATTTGATCATTATGTATCTAGAATAAATGCCCAATAAGTACTACTTGCTATTTCTGTTTGAAAACCAATTTTTTTAATTAACATTATTCTTTTTATAAACTCTTTTATATCTGTTTTCAGTTTAAATCAATTTTAATGATAATTCTTTTTTATTATTTTTTTTAATTATTTTTCGAAAAAGAATATTTGTTTCTTTCAGAAGCTTTTATAAATAAGAAAAAAATTTAGCTCAAAATTTAGAAGAATTAAATAATTCAGCATAAATTATNACCAAAAACAAGAAATGATTAAAGAGAAGTTTTAATAGATCACCTATATTAATAAATTCAAGAAATTAGTGATATTGAAATTAATTTCAATAATAACTTATTTATATAAAAATATATACACTCTATTATGCATTCCCATTTATAAAAATGTCATTTTATACCTAATTAAGTAATTATATCTTCTTAGAAAATTATTTTTTATTGTAATCCATTTTTTTGAAAGTTTAGTAAAAGTAAAGATATATAAAGTAATTTTACAAGAATATTATTTTTTTATTTTCTGCGATGATTTGATGATTGCTAAAAATTTAGAAATTAAGCTTTATTTAAAAGTCATTCCTAATTTACTACAACATTGATTAGATAGTTATAAATGATATAACTTTATATTAGAAAGGAAATAACATATTGATATCATGTTATGATCAAGTTTTTTATTGGTTTCTTTCATTTTCATCCAACTAAAAAAATAAATATTCCAAATTTAATTTTCCTCTTCCAGAATTATTAATTTTTTTAATTAATTTACTTTCTAAGAAAACCATTAATCAAAAAATAATAACTTTTGATAATTAATTTATAAAATTATTAAATGATAAGGATTTTTAAGACTCAAATTAAACATTACATTTTTAATAAGATTTGATTATAGAAGGATTAGAATTATCAAATAAAGAATGATTTTTAGTATTATATGCTGTTTAATGTTAATGTTTACATATAATAAAATTTAATATTACTGTAATTAGATATTTATATTAACTAATTAATTTAATTTTTATTCAATCAAATTGTTTAAGGTTTTCATTATTTTTGACAATTTTCTTCTGATCTTTTTTCTATTTCTTCGAGTTATGATGTTATTCTTATTCTTTTTAAGTTTACTTTTGTTTCTCAAAATTAGATATCATCATTTAGTTCATCCTTTTTCTTATAAAATGTAGAGATATAGTTCTTGATTCATTATAATTTTTCAAATATAAGACTACCTTATTCTATTTTAGGTTATCCATATGAATTATATAAAGTCCCCCAAATTCTTTATTTCTCTAAAACAAAGTAAAAAAACATCAAGATGATTATTAATGCCAATAATACATTAAATTAATTAAATCTCATTAAAACACTTACTGTCATTATGATAGGTAAAAAGAGAATTAAGCTTTCTCTAGTATGTGATTCCATATTTAAAACTAAACTTCATCCTTTTATATCATTTTAATATAAATGAATTTCAAGTACATAATTAAATCAATAGGACATTTATTATTTTTCATTTATTTTTCTGTAAAATGGTTTTATGGAAGCTTCAAATCAAGTAGATTTTATTTTAAAACTTTACTTGTGAATCTAGAATTCAAATTTATATTATAAATCTTGCAGCATAATTATTCAGTACCAAAAATATTTACTGATAGTTAAAATTTTTCAAAGTAATTTATAAATTGATCTGAATTTAACATCCATCTATGATTTATTTAATATTAAAATATTAATGTAAATTTTAACGATTATTTTATAGATATAATTTGTGATTAAGCTTTATAAATGTAAAACATATGTGATTTTGAAACATCTAATAAAATTATAGTTTTTTATCTTTTAATTTTAAAATTGGAAAATATTGTAATTCTTTTTGATATGAACTAAAAATTTCTGTATATCATAAATTATCATGAAATAGATTTTGAAAATTTTAATAATGGATATTAATAAGTAGAAAAAGTATGAAATAAATACAATTTATAGAATATGTTTATGATAATCAAAAGAATTTACTAATCAGTTGATGTTTAGCAATCATAAAGCATTTAACATCGATGTATGACATTTAGATACTTAAAGCAAAAGATTTAGATTCTTTAAAATAATCAAAGTAGTAAAATATAAATAGAAAATGCATTAAGATAATATCTAGTTGTAATAATTGTAAGTTTGTTGAAGAAGAATTAGTAATGTAGGATTATGAATAAATAACTTAAATTAAAATTGATACAAAGTTAATTATGTTATTCTAAAATTCATATAAAATCTTAGATTTGTTCCTAAAATCGTCTATTTTAATTTAACCTTGAATGAAAATTTTAATATCATGAAAAATATTTTTATGATAAAACATGATATTAATTTCATCAAAAAGCTAATTCCAAAATAAATCTAAATAAATTTTAAAGATTATAAATAAAGTTAAATTTAATTAGTTTAATATTGCATTCTAAAAGAATATAAAAATGATAATTAAATAAGTTAGAAAATATTTAAAACTTTTCTTACTTGAATAATATTTTTTTAAGAACAAATAAAAAATAATATTATGTTTCTAGTTAAATTAATAGAAGTATTGTTAGATTTTTTTGAACTTAAGATAGATTTTTTTAATTTGCCTTAAATTATTGATACAAATTCAAAAATTTGAAATTTATTTTACTAAATGTTCATAATCTTTTTGTTGTATTATAATCACATCAAGGTTGAGAATTTAATTAATATTGAATTAACTATTGTATTTTATGATAATACGAATAAATTTTCCTAATTATTAAAATAGAAAGTAAGTTCTGGATGGCTGATGTCTGAGAAAAAGCGGAGTAGATAAGAAATCTATATAAAAATAATTATTTTAAAATAATCTTTGTAGTTTACTTAATTGATTGGATCTACTAAATTTATATTTAATCTAGAAATATTATGAAAAATTTTTTTGGTATTTATAAAAGTTTATTAATAATTTTTAAGCCTTGATTAAGATTTAAAATAAATTATTCTGCCTGTAAGATGAGCAAGATTTCTTAATGATTAAAACATGCTTAAATGAATATCCAAAAAATAGTAAGAATCAAAGTTATTTGGATAATCTTCCATAAAGCATAATGCCAAAATATCAAAATGTCATAATCAAATCTCATAATTCAAGTTTAACACTTATAAAAAAACATGAACATAATCTTTTTTCTTTTTAGTATTTAGTAGAATTATATAATATATGGAATAGATAATTTTATGAGACTTTTTTGTTTAATTCTTCTTTTTATGTAGGTGTGATAGTATTTAAATATCTAAATATTATAAAAATGACAAAAGGAATTTAAATAAATAAATGAATTATAAAAAAATATTTAATGATCTTATTATCCTGATATTTCTTAATAATCATTAATTAATCAATAAAAGGAATTATATAGATTTCTTCACTTAAGGGCTTCGTAATCAGTTCCTGATAAAAATTATTGTGAAAGTTTATCAAGCTCTTTTGTCAACTATTATAAATTTATTTTCATACTCTATCAAATATTTGATTAATATTTTCAAATTATTTATGTATGTTTTTAATACAGACATCATCCTTAAATAGGTCAAATTCTTCTTTACTTAATGGGTACACATCCATTCTTTCATTTACTTATTATTCTTGTTGGTTCACTTATTGTGGTTATACTATTAGTTGTGTTTTTTATTTTGGTTATTCTGGTGGCTGTGTTTGTGTTTGATTTATTAAACTGTATTGCTGTTGATTTGCTTGACGATTTTATGTTTTCGAAGAACAGACCCCCATTAATTTTTATTTTGTTTAAATATTAGGATCTAATTATTAACATAAAAAAGGCTTAAAATATTTAAATTTAGTTTCTATTACATGGATATTCAAGTCTTGATGATAAATAATATACTTAATGTTTTATAATTGTTCTAAATTTTAAGGACCTTTAATTTATTAATGGATTAGAATTTTTCGCAAATTTAAATTGTTTGATATTACTACTAGGTCATCTTCTATGACAGGTTGAATCAAGGATTAAAATCTGAGCTTTATTTGCTTATTTTTACTGCCATTACACTTTTTATAATCAATTAGGTATATATTTAGTATTTTTAATAATCTACACTTGCTCTTAAATAAATAATAAAAAATTAATAAGAAATAT